AAAAAAAAAAGAAAAGAAAAGAAAAAAGAAAATGGTATACAAGTCAACAAAGTTATGCTGATGGCATATTAACCACAAATGTGCAACTCAAAAGCAAAATTGGGGTTATAAGAATTATTCATCAATTGTTGAAAATTTTCTACTCAGAAAATATCAACATGAATGTACAAGTCTATTTGTTATCTAGGAATTTCCTGTCACAGCTTACAAATTACTATTTCTCCTGAAGATCGATTATGTAGATGTAACATTCATTTTGTTTTTATAACATTGTCATGTAAAAAAAAATATATATATATATGATCGTCAAACATGTCTCCCCCCCCCCCCCCAAAAAAAAAATATCTCAGTTTATTAATAGTAAATCTCCATACTTCTCAGTTTTAGATGATGAACCCCCAAAAAATTGGTCACTCAATACAGAAGATACGGAAACTTAATTTTGCAGGCAAATTTATATAAATGATATCATGTAATAGAATTAAGTGGTCATAGTCCTTTACACATGTCATATGTAAATTCTTCTTTATTCCTTTATAATACAGGATTATTAATTGCTTTTAATAATTGTTTTGCTATTGATTGACTTATTTTTTCCATAATATTGTAATAATCTCACACTTTTCTGTTTTGGACTCTAAATTAGAAATAAAACGTTGTTTTAATATAATGTACTTAGAAATAACCGATAGAAAAAAAGTTATGAAATAAAATAGACTTAGTTTTCATTAGGTTGCGTTTCATTGACCTCTAAATATTTTCAATATTTGAAGTTTACAATGGTGGCAAACAAGGAATACCATTAATTGTCGATTTCTTTTTGTGATAGCCGATTTTTTGTGTGGAGAAATTGTAAAATAATATTAAAATTTTTGAAATAGTCTATTGAACTAGCTATAGCAAATATTCTCCTTACCAATAGGTTAATTTTATTATATTAGATTGATAGATAAATATTTAAGAGGTTTGTCTATTTTCTTTTAATCACTTACACATAAAATAAAAACTTCTTATGCTGAATATGAAACATTGTATGAAATATTTTACATAACACATTATACATATGACATATTTGATTTTAGATGAAGTTTTATATAGTGTGATTTTTTTTTTAATTTTAAATGTTCAGAAACCTTGGTGTCATTAGAAAAAGCTAGTTGTGTATATCATGTACTGCGTGTATATATTACGCCTGGTCACAGTCCATTGTTCCTCTAAGGTAGAAAAACCTCTCAATCCACATAGAATATACAAAAAATACACCAACACGGTAGCAGGTGTCTTCGCGACACGTGTCTCCCCACCTGTGGCACGTGAGGACAGGTGCCCGCGAGTGGGGTTCAACGTAAAGAATTGAAAATTTGATCAACTTACAGACTACTTTAATTTTATTATTTTTTTTAAATTAGTTCTTTATCACATATTTAGCACATTATACATCTCAATACGAATATAATTGAACATATTACTAAAAATTATACCGCGTTTTCAGTGATACTGCATTAATTAACATCACGAAAGCAAGATATATGAAATAAAACAATTAAAAAAAAAAAGCCTACACATAACATACAATCTAATTAAAATTTTGAGATTTTCCATTCGCTCCCAGGGTATTGTTTCACAAAAGCAGACTTTTTACATATAAGAGTTCCTCGTGTAAATAAACATTTGGGGAACAAATGGAAGATTAATTTTAATCAGATTGACATAAAATGCTGCAAATCCTGGGAACCATGACATCAAATTTTCAGGACATTTTTTAATGCTGTAAAACCGCGGCTTACGAATAAAATGTTTTTACGAAGACGGAAATAAAAATACATATATGTAGATATTAAATCAATGTTATTATAAAAATAACTAGTACATGTAACTATTGAACTATATATATATGAATAGTAAAAAAGGCTTCCTAGTCAATATGTATTGTTAACAAATTGAAATAATTGAAATGATATTCATTAAGGAAAATATATATAGAAACATGTATAAAGAATATAAATGCAAACCTTTCTATCTCAGATTATGTTCATCTCGTAATTATCTGTATTTCATGCACCATGAAGACACACTAATTTTCTTTTTAAACAACTTTACATGAAACGTAATCGTAGTTTTGTGAAAATGATGTATGTTTTCAAAATAATCAATTCCCGAGGGGGGTATTGAGTTGGGTAATGTAGAAAATCCTTGTGAGAGGAATCGATTTTGTTTAAAAATAATATTTTTGAATTCCGACACAATATGAAATAAACATTTTTTACACATTTAATATGAAGCAAAGATCTTGTATAATATGCTTATCATTGATATCAATATCGGTATGTGTAAGTTTACACAGAGCAGGCACATCTCAAAATCTGAATATGAAATATTAGATATTCAAAAATAAAACCATTTTTTAAAATGTGTAAATAAATATAAGGATGATATGAGTTGATTTTTCTACCCTTTTGAAAAAAAATTAAAGAGAAAAAGTTTCAGTTCGGTTTCAGCATGCGGAAACCATATGGAATCGAAATCAATAGTAAAAAGATCATATGCATACGAGTTGATTTTTCTACCCTTTTGAAAAAAAAATATCAAAAGTTTCAGTACGGTTTCAGCATGCGGAAACCATATGGAATCGAAATTAATAGTTTCCGGAAACGGAAACCTACTGAAACTAAAACGTATCGTTAAATTGACGTTTTATTAAATTTTACATTGGTTTCCGTTTTGCGGAAACTATTAGGAAACAAACCTAATGGTTTCAGTATACGGAAACCCTACTGAAACTTGCTGAAACTATTATATAGTTTCCGCATTGCGGAAACCATACAGGAAACTTCAACGCCAAGTTTCAGCAAGGTTTCCGCATAGTTTCAGTTTTGCGGAAACTAGACTTTTCATCCAGTGAGTGTTTTCTTCTTTTCACGCATAAAATTTTGCACAAATTCTGCTTCATATTAATACAAAAATAGGTCTATTAATTGTTTAGCAACTTTGCAAAGTTCAAAATATCACTGCCTGTATCATGAAATATTTTTATTTGTTACTACATTGCATATTGATTATTTTGAAGCTTTCTTTTTCTTCAGCAAAGGATTGTGTCTTATTAGTTGTTTGTGTCTGTTTTATTACAGAAGAATTTATCTTGACTTACGCTTGTATGCGATTGAATTAGCACTGAATCAAATTTCCTTGCATGTGGAAAGGCAAAATTTACATTGTTTATTGTCTTAAATCTTCCTAATGACGTAGTTTCGAGGGGGTAACAAAAAGATTATTATTCTATGATTTATCGTGATTACATGACCATTTTGGAAGTGTACAGCTGTATGTACAGTGTATGAAGAAGGTGCAATAGTTTTACAAGCATATAACGTCTACAACAATATCCACTATAACTATGCATAAGAAGAACATAAACCCCATTCTCCAGTTTATTACGTCTCGATGATCAAATTTTATATATCGTGTTTCTTAAACGTATGATTATTTGTGATGTTTTATTGGATGCAATCTCCGAAAAGAAAACTTTGGATATTTTGAAAGAGGTCCTGAAGCTTTATATTTGTGGAAATAACTGTGAACCTATGGTAAAGTATTATCCTATCCAGGCAGGATTATCTGTGTTGCTAGATTTATTGTTATCAATTATTTTACCTTCCAAATGGATTTACTTTTGTTAGATTTGAAATTATCTTTGATTACTTTCAAGGTTAATATTTTGATTGACCGATTCTACTATTTTATCTTGATAACCATTTTAATGATTTTTTGCCAACGTTGAAAAAAAAAATTTTTTGGTCAAGTTGATAAAAATATTTAAATAAATTCCATATACAGAATTTAGAAAGAGAATTACAAAGGGTCCTATGTTGTATTTTTTCTGTGCCCTGTATTTCTTTATATCTTGATGTTTGTTGCACATAGTGTTTTTTTCATAAAAATTGAGAATACATGTGACATGCAAAAATCAGTTCAGTATTGAAAAGTTTAAATATATTATAAAAGAGGGTTCAAGGGAGGAGGGGGGAGGGGATTTGAACAAACTTAAATCTACACTCCCTAAAAATGCTTTTCAATTAATATGACACATTATAGCTTTATTGGTTATTGGTATGATCCACTATAACGAAGCTTTTAAATTGATGATCAATCATGGCTTTGTGAAGAATTTAATGATTTTTCCCTATGTCTTCGTATGTAAGACTTGATACCCCATTTGGCCTTACACAACCTCTGGGGTCATGTTTGATTAAACTTGAATCCACACTACCCGGGGATGCTTCCATATAACTATGACCAATCACAACTTTGCTGTTTTCACGAAGAAGAATTTAAAGTATTTTTTCTTTGTAATCCTACTTTGATCATCCATTATGGCCCACCCTTGACCCAGGGGTCATAAATCGAACAATATTAAAATAATTATTTCAATAGTGGTCGTATTTCAATAATGGTTACATACTATGTTTGTTATTGAAATGCACTCTTAACCACTATTGAAATAATTATTTCAATAGTGGTCGTTATTTCAATAGTCTTTGCAACACCCCAGCTTGAAAAGCGGGAGGGTATATAGTAATCGGTACGTCTGTCCGTCTGTAACGCTTTTGGGTATTTATCTCTTATTCGCAACTCCTCTCATACCACTTAATGAAATTTGATGAAACTTTCACAGAATCTTATTTACATATTGCCATTGTGCACCTTTTATTTTACTTTTTTTTTTATCAGACACATATTTTGGGTTTCCCACAACAAAACATGGACAATCCCATTATATTCATATGGGAGGCGGGAGGGGGATCATTTTGTGAGCTCATTACTCACAGTACCTTTATTTTTGTTTTATACTAGGTGATATTTAAATACTAAGGAAATCCTCCAGATATGAAGAAAATGATGATAAAGTAAACAATACACTCATTATCATGCAGCTATAATTAGAGATAATAAGGATTGTTTGTTACAAAGGAAGAAGTAAATGTTACATAAACCTAACTTACCAGTCCAGTATTTTTTAGATGGACCCCCAAATCCTTGTTTATACTATGCCCACGTCCTGTAAAAATCTGTAGACCCATCCTGTCTTCTTTGTATTGCCTTTAGCAAATTAATTAACTTATAACTCGTTATAGATTCAGCAAACAAGAGTAGTAATTCAAGATTTGTTCCAGTAATTATTTATAGGATCTTGACAAACACACACAGACTCTATATTTTGTAAGAGAAACACGGATTAGATTATTTTCAGTATAAAAATAAATTATGTTTATACCCCCGCTTGAAAAGCGGGAGGGTATAAAGTAATCGGTATGTCCGTCCGTCCGTCTGTTACGCTTTGGGATACCCATCTCTTATCCGGAACTCCTCTCATGCCACTGAATGAAATTTGATGAAACTTTTACAGAATATTTATTACACCTTTTATTTTACTTTTTTATCCGACAAATATTTTTGGTTTCCCATAGCAAAACATGGGCATTGCCATTATATTTATATTGGAGGTGGAGTATCATTTAGTGAGCTCATTGCTCACAGTACCTCTAGTTTTAATTTATAACAAATTGTACTCACCGTCCGCCCTCCTCCATCTGTCGTCATGTCACAGTAAAAAGACTTGACCTCAGAGCCTACGGATATTCTGTATACACCATCTCGCCCTTTTAAACTTGGGAACTTCTTTAAAATTTCTCCGCAATCCTTCAGAAGCACTATGTGAGAGAAAATAAAATTGCCGTATATAAATGTTAAGGACTTTTGTACACTTCACTATTTATCAAACAATACTAAGGTAATTGTGGACTTACTGTCATTGTAAGGAGAAGATCTAACTAGGATTTGTCTGCATTCAAATCCCTTTCTTTTTGGAAATAAATTATCGCGTAAACCAAACTCACATAGTATCTTTATCTGCAAACTTAAACCAAAATAGGCATTTCGTTTTGGATACGGCCTTTTGTTTTTTTTTTCTTTCCGTTTAATTTCTACATTCGCTACTCAATTGAAATTTCTAATCAACCTCACTGACCAAAAAGTGTTTTATTACATTTTGCGTTCTTGAAGTTTGCTTAATCTCGGCATCGAATATAACAACTCAAAATGCAATTATACAAAAATCGTGTTATTACATTTTGCGTTGATTTCGACGCATAATGTAATAATTCTCTCAAGTCTATTTTTACATTTTGCGTCATTACATTATGTGTTGATATTGACACAAAATGTAATTATGCGAAATACAATTATCCCTGCTTATCACATTACGCATTGTAGCATTACATAATCGATTTCTTAGCAAAATCATATCTATAATTATTTATTAAAGAAACTTTATTCTTACGTAAAATTCCCTTTATTAAGGGTTGTTCCAATCATTGTTTTAAAAATTTAGTCTTATAATTTAAATTTGAAATAGAATGTAATATTTTACCTTTTGACAAGATCCAGCTGGATTCATTCAGATCACTACAAGCAGTGTGTAGAGTTTCATTTACAGCTGAGACGGAGAAAATTTCTAAAGCATACTCTGTCTTTTTCACACGATCAAAAAAACTGTTCACACTGCATTTCTGTAATGTTGCATTCATCGCATTCATGTGATATTGGAGCATTTCAATTTGGGGACTAATATGGGAAACTAATTGCGTTTTATTTAGAGCTTTTATTTTCTCCATTGTGCTTTGGTCTGTCATCTTCAGTGTCTGTATGTCTTTTCTCAAGTCACTTTCTGTCTTTTTTATTGAGTTATTTAACAAATCAAACTGTTTTTCAAAGTTTTGAACAGCTAAAGTTTTACTTTCAATAACCTGGCAAATATATTTCATTTCTTCCTCTATTAAGTTTTTATTGATATTCAGCATTCCGTTCACCATCTTGACTTTCTCTTTAAGTTCAATATTTTCTGCCTCCAATATTTGGCTTTTCGTTTCCAAGTTCCGTAAGTCCTTTGCCAGTAAGTTTCGCCTTAATAACTTGTAAATCGCTTTTGCTGTCCGTAGCATCCATAACTAGACTGTATTTTTTGTACCATAGAGAAGCGACCAGACTTTCCTGATTCAGAATGTCACGTAGGACATTGGACGCTTTACCGGATACGGTACTAGGTAACATTTTAATTTTATCAGAAGCTTTGTTTTCAATTAAAGATAAATCAACAAGGGTTCCATATGCTAACACAGAGAGAATGAAACATTGTACATGTAGATCGCTCATATTTGCAGTGAAGTAACTTTTTATGGGTGAGGAGGCCCTTTATATGTTGTGCAACAATGGGCGTTAGCAATATAATTAACTAATAAAGCACTGAAATAGTTTTTTTTTTTTGGTTAAAAGAATGATTTGATACTCGACAAGCTTCAAATAAACAATGTTATCTTTCTCCTCAGTAAAATCAGATCTAGTGTGTAGTTACTAAAAAAGTGTTGTCATAGAAAAAATTGACTTGATACTTGACTGGCTTACATAAATAATGTAATCTTTATCCAGAGTGAAAACGCTATCCGGCTTATGATATATTAAAAATTTTGAATTAAAAAAAATTAAAGAAGGAAAGATAAGTGTGTTTGCTGAAAAAAAAAATGATGCTTGAAATTTGGTAATTGAGAAAATTATTCACATCATTATAATCTTAATATGAAAGAGTACTTGGTATCAAACTATTTTTATAGATATCTATCCGACAAATACAACTTACCAAAGTTCCATTCATGTAAAGCGAGTGTTTTTATTCAACATAATACTTCAATAATACTTCTAAAGCTTCCCACTGTCAGTAACCTTTGATATCTAATTATTTTACATACAAAAATGACCGTTAGACATCTGTAAAAATTCCTTGATTCAAAATATGTTTTCAAAGTAACTTTGATCAATGCATAGGATTAGTGACGGATGTGACCGGCATAATGTCTACTTCTAGGCATTTATCTTCCCTGTGAGATCGATCATTGTTTATTATTCCCAACCTTCACTCTATGCAAACTTTGTGCAGAATACCTTTTAACAAAATCAACAAAAACTAGAGGTACTGTGAGCGATGAGCTCACTAAATGATACCCCCGCCTCCCATAAAGTTATAATGGCAAAGTCCATGTAGGTGCACAATGGCAATATGTAATTAATATTTAAAGATTCTGTGAAAGTTTCATAAAATTTCACTCAGTGGTATAAGAGGAGTTGCAGATAAGAGATGGGTACCCCAAAGCGAACCAGACAGACGGACGGACGGACATGCACACGGACAGACGGACGGACGGACATACCGATTATAGTATACCCTCCAACTTTTCAAGCGGGGGTATAGTAAATGAACATTTGAATACATCATTGTTATAGCATTAGAAAATTCATCCTATACAAATCTATGTGAAAAAAGTCTAACATTTCTAATGTTTTGCTGAGCGGGCATAAAAAAAATGTTTTACCACTGACACCCCTACTAATGTTATTGCGATTTAAATTCAGGACACGTGGTTTAGGTTTACCTATTCAAAGGTTATAATGTAGAACCGGTTTTATAAATAAAATTGGCAGTAAACAGGAAATTGCTAAAGTCTGTTTCTTCTGAAAACATGTCCTGTGAAAAATGTGTTTCCAGACCTTTCTGAAAGACTTTCATGATTTTCAACAGAAATGGGTGGCTAAAGGGGGGAGGGGGGTAAGTAAAAATTAATACATCTTATCATAATTTACTGCAAAAATTACAGCTCAATAGCGACCGATACGCTGGTAAAAAAATGTGTAAAATCATCTGAACTGACAAACCTTTGTTTGCCTTATATGGCTATTGCTATTAATGCGCACAGAGGATCTTACCACGAGCAACTGACCAATTGTTGATTGAATACGTTTACGCCAAATATATGTTTACATGTTACTTCGAACACGTGGTTCAGTTCAATCTATGATCATGTCAATGGAGTGCAAAATAAAACAAAATGTTCTTATGAACAAAATGCAAACATAAGAAACTATGAAAGATATCACGGGGCTCACGGGCGTTCATAATTTGTTGTTAACTAGAGAAAAATATGTTTTATGAAATGTATTCGTAGTAAGTGTCAAGTTCAGAACACCAGCACTCCCAGGATAAGGAAAACGAGCACCTTCTCGTATGCATTTAAATGGACAAAACATTTTTTACGTAACTATACTCGTTATCACGTGTATTGACCACGGAATCTTACAATTGTATTCACCGTACAATAAAGGGATTTATCAAGCGTAAAATTCCTGTAGTATTCGCAGTAACCCATAATGCAATTCTCATTCAGCTCATTTGTCAGTTAAAGTCACATTGGTGCCCCACTTGCTAATCTGACGCCAAAAAATAAAGTCCCGGTTCCCATTCAAAATATTTGTCCAAAAAGAAAATCAGTTTTAATTCATGACAGCAGAAAATTATAATATCATAAAGAATATTTATAATTTAAACTTGAATGAATTCAAGAGAGATCTATTGAAGTACATTTCTACAGAATGATATTATAGGGCGGTGAAAACTGAAACGCAACATAACTTTTCTGTTTGCCATGTCTCCACGTGCTAGTCACTTCCTAGCCACATTTCCGTGAATAATTTACCCTATCTCGCTGAAATCTCGCTAACTCTCGCCAGAGCCACTGTCAGAGCTACTTTGAACTCATTGGATTTTATAATTTGCAGAACACCGAAAAAGGAAATGTTCCGAACACATTAGTAGGGGTGGCTGAGTGAGATGTTGAACCGGTCGTTGAAAATTGGGACCGCTTACGTCACAGAATGTGCGGAGTTTAATGTATATTATTTGCTAATTGTGTATACTGGGAAATCCCCCCACTTCTCGCAAACGAATTTAAAACGGTGCGAATTAAAAAAACGCTGTATAATTTAATAAATTGAACTGTTACTAAGCGAATTAAAGCTATGGCAGATCAAACAGTCTAGCTTTGTTTAGATGTTGTTCATGTACCTGGTAATGCATTTCTAGGTGATTCTCTGTTTGACATTTAAAGGTCATCAGTACGAAAGCCCAGAAGGCTCATTCGAGATTCGAGGTTCGAAATGCGAAATTTGAGATTCGAAAAACGAGATTCAAAATTCGAGATTCGAGATTCAAGATCCAGATTAACCAATCAAAAGCGGGATCAACATTTGATTACTCCCCTTAAATCTGATTTTACTATCAAGAAATCGTTTGATATATTTATAACAAATGAGTCATTTGATTAAATTACAATGCAAGAAAGAGTATTATATATATTAGAAGGAAATTTAAATAATCATTGGATATTTGATCAGCAAGATATACTTCAATTTATATTATGGCTTCTTAAATATTAAGTAGATTACATATATCAGGAGTATATAAATTTTTGTATTGTCTACTTTGTTTCCGGAGTTCATGACATATAAATAAAGTTATAAATAAGTGTCAAATGTCTAAAGATTAACAATAACCCCACTCCTACCCACCCCACCTGCTTCTTTTTCAAATCACACTGAAATTGTCACTTTGTAGTATTGAAAAACAAAAATCTCGTTCGTTTTCCTGATAGAGGAAATACATAAAAATTAAGTATTTAATTACTTATCTTCATCTAAGGCTTTGATTTCTTGCATTAATAAAAAATTGTTTATACAATACAGATTGGCAATATGAATTAAAATAAATACGGCATTTATTTTATCTTATATCAATAGTGGATGAGTCTAAATTAGATGCGGAACTATAGCGTTATGGTTTTAAAATTTAGTCTCTGGCCATACCGTTATGACCAAAGACTAAAATATACTCGTGAAACCTTATAACGCTACAGTTTGATTCAGCAGCCAAGTCTCCTGCATAAATGTACCCTTTATGAATGTAATGAAATATATCCTTGAATTACTGTGCATTGTATAGACGATTCATAATTCTTGTATTTCATAACTAATTATAATCAAATATAATATTCTCCCTCAGCAATGATCTGATTAAAAAAAAAGTCGACCTACTTCTTCCGCAAGTCAACGATAAGACCATATAATATTCCATATATACGTATTTACTATTTTGTTTAATGAGAAAAATAAAATTATATATGTGTATTTTTCAAAATGTTATCAAAATTTTATTTTTATTTCGTTTTAATACGTAAAACATTTTTTCTTGCATTGTCATTTTAGCAAATGACCAATTTGTTATAAATATATTCAACGATTTCTTGATAGTAAAATCATAGCAAAGGGGAGTAATCAAATGTTGAACCCGCTTTTGGTTGGTAAGTTTGGATCTTGAATTTCGAAACTCGAATTTCGAATCTCGTATTTTGAAACTTGAACCTCGAATGAGCCTTCCGGGCTTTCGTACATCAGATTTTGACTGCATGGATTCCTTGTCAGCAAATAAAATTTATCATTGAGTCAAATGCTGACTGACGTTTTCATTTTCTAATTGTCAGTTCATTATTTCTATACTGAATTTACGACTGATTTTTTTCCCGTTATTTCCCGATCATGACAAGAAGCACACGGCGGGTTTGATCGGTAAGCAGGAGATGCTCATTCCTCCATGTCACCTGATCCATGTTTGCTCTGCTCCTATTTTGTAATGTTTTATGGACTTTGATATTGAATACTGTTCGTTATCTCCATATCCTTCTTTAAAATAAAATAACATAGATTTCTACAACACTTATTCCACTCTGAGAAAGTGTTCAGATCTTCCTTTTCTAAATCAACACTGACTGGCGTAATCTTCGAGAGATTTCATTATAGAAATTTAAGTCCAAAAGAAAGATTGGGGCTCCTTGTATTTTGGACTTTTTAAGATAATTGATTTCATACTAAATTTTATTGATATAAACTTATTCCGATGCCGAGTTCAAAAATACACTAAACCTATCGAAGTCAGCTTTACAAATCCGGT